GGGTCTCATGATCTTAGTAAGATTTGTTTAAGATCTTAGACAAATGTAAGCGAAATCTTACTAAGATCTTAACAAGATTTTTCTAAGATCTTAGTAAGATTTGAGTAAGTTTTTATATTGATCCCATATGCCATTATTACTTTGCAAATCTTAAAAAGTAGGCCATAGATGACACTCATTAATACGTTTCTTCAGATATTATTTAGATCCAATATTTAACGATTATGCAGAGAAGCAAAATGTGAACAAGAAAACACTAATTCTATTCAATGGAAAGAATACCAATACCATTAACAAACGTGCATAATTGTGATGAGTAAATGAAAAAGACAAACATACTATGCCGGTTCAAAGATGATATGATGTACAACTGTTCAGTCTAGTCTTTTATATTGAACAGAAATGCACAATCGCTACATACACTCGAAAATATTATCAAATTATAGAACTTTAACATGTGATGACATCAGTATATTAGACAGTAATAAAAATCCGTTAAAACCGTCGATATCCGTCATGATTAATAACAAAAAATACAATGAACTTATACTATACCATACAATCATGCTTCTTTTAAGTTTTCGTCAAGAGCAAATAACAAAATAACAAGATTGTCTTAGTTTAAACGAATAGCTACAACGACAGCAAAAAGCTTCACAGTATATGACTTAGGTGGCAGTTCCAGTGTGAAATGATTTATAAATACCTCGATTTGTTTTTTTCGTTGATGCATCATTATACATTGCATTAATATGATAATTCAAGCGACAGATTAATGATGCTCAATATCGCATTGTGTTTTAGCCTCTCGTACGAAATATTTTTCTTTCTATGATTTAGTACTTAATAACTTACACAATATATCTAAACTACATGTTCTTATCATATGAAACGAAGAATACATAATTACAGTTTCTACGACAAAATAGAAAAAAATAATGTTTTAAATTTTTGACGAAGACGTCTTGTTCTTGTTTCACTTCTATTACACGTCTTAAATCAGCATAATTTAATCAAATTCAAAAAAAAAGTTGACATAAATCGTTAGACAACCACGAGATAAGTAAAAGAAAACCGTAATAAACAAGTTGCCACGACCAAGGACTATTTCATTCGAACGCATAGTTTTCTGTTGTTGTATTTCACTAGAATGGAACAAAACACGTAATGCTCACTTATTTATAAGTAAAAGAAGATACTGGTAATATAATTACATAAATTAATACAAATCAAAATCCATCATTAAATATCTAGATAGTGGCTTTGATAGATACATACAAGAAACAACCCAATTCACTATTTTTTTCTCCGCCTTTTCTAATGAAAAAACACAAACAACCAATAGAAAAATAAGTCACGTTACTCTATTTCGTCACACGTACACCGGAAAAAAAATAGAATCATAGTTCTATTGTACATCATAGGAACGTTCTAATGAAAAATCATAATGGTATTTTTGTTCTATTTCACGAAGACTTAATATTTGGAATGAATCAAGCCATGCTAAATCATTTGATGAAGAATTTCCATTCGATTTATTTGATTTTAGATACTTTGGATTAATAAGAAACGGAATCCCCTCAATGCTTGAATTTTCTTGAGCATGTCGTTGCATTGCTGCCGAGTCATAAATACTTTGTTGACGATCGAAAGAATGGGGCGCAGTTTGTGTAGGTGGATTTGGTGTTTGTCTAAATGGTGGCACAGTGCCTTCTTTAATACACATTGTTAATCCATTTATTTCACCGATCATTGTATACGATGGTGGTGGACGTTTTGTACGATAGAGAAAAATAATGTCATTAATTGATTTCATTCCAGCTTGACGAGAAATCAGTTTAACAGCAATCGAACGTTTTGTTGTACCTTTCTCTCGCGTATCAACAGTGTAAGACAAAAGTTGATAACCGGGTGGACTAATAAACACAAAGTAGAAATAGAAGAGATTAAAATAGCGATCACTTTCGATTCTATACTTACCATAAATCACGTTCATTAATTAATTTAATATCTTCTAATACTAGAGCGACGTTATCAGCTAACGGATAGATACGTGTTATACATAAAAAACGGTCTTTTCGTTCAAGTAATTTATCGGCCATTAAATCGGCATCACGTTGTGAATCATCGTGGGCTAAACGAAGAATAATTTAAGAGCAAGACATGTTTTAATAGGACTCTAATTGGATGATATTTCTGTCAAAAGAAGCGTTATTTAGTTATATAAAAAAGTCTCGAATAGCTCACTTTTTCTTATACACTGGTATCCTGGAGGTGCACGTGCATAGTTCGACACCAAACAAATGCCTGTTATAGGTAAATTTTGATCATTCATCGACGATTCCGATTCTGTTGTTTTTATTGAATTCTCACTGTTATCAACCGAATCACTGTTGTTATTTGTGAAAAATGCTGAGGTAACAACCGTAGGAATAGCAGAGAAAAAACTTGATATCGCCGCCAATGTTGCAGTTGAGCAATTTAATTTATATGTAAAATAATCTAGAATATAGAAATAACAGGTATTGTTAGATGGCATAGTTTTAAAGATCAAAGATATTGCATCATGTATCGAGAGCAACAACAATATATTTTGTGTAATTGTAGTTTTAGATTTATATTTTCACTTGAAAACAAGGAGAATTTAGCGAATGACTGAAATTTTTCTTGAACAAGCAAAAAAACAAGCAATGTTCATATCTGAGAGGGAGTCATAGTCGCAATAACGAAGCTTCGAAACCGTGCTGTACAAAAGAAACATCAACAGGACCATGTATCCAAAATATACACAACAAACACTGAAAATAAGATAAAAATAAAATTTAAATCAAACTTATTAAGTATCACAATACCCTAAGTCAGTTTTCATCACAGTACCATTAGCACCACACATATAACATAAATATACTATAACAACAAAAGTCGCACAAACTCTCTAAAATCAGCTAGCTATACATGAGTTATTTTCAAATAGATTTTAACACTAAAATCTCAATTATTATTAATGGAGAGAATCTTGTATAAATGGCTTCCTACTTAAAAGTAGTTGTTTCCCATCGTAGTTAACTCAATTTCAGATTTCGAGAGAGATTTCAAAGATATTTTAATATTAGACAACATCACCTGTCCTTCTTAGTAAGAGAAAACAAAGGCAGAGTAATACAATCATTCGACCTAAATCGCATGGACAAATTTAAACAGCATCAAGAATAAACAAAACTATCTTCAACGCATTGTCTCAATTCTATTCTTCTTATTTATATACATTGTCCTAACAACTACTACTTTTTATAATCGAGTGATGATGTCGAAATTTTCGTTCGATGACATCCTAGCTGTTCTTTTCAAGTAAGACGCAACCCTTTCCTCTTCAATTTGCAATGTCTGTGGTAGTTCATTACTCCTTTATGAATACTTCAATGATACAGCGTTCAGTTGACTATTTGATAACATCATTTATTACTGTAAAGATCATTTCCCAGAAATGTCTTTTTCTTTCTCATAATTTAGAGTGAATAAAAGAAAACTACTCCTCTGGATTGAATAAATCTATTTGCAAAAGATAACAATGGGATAGAGAAGCAAGAACTACGTAAGTGATTTCAGCTCCTTTTTACTACTGTTAAAGAAACCTATGTTTTAGGCCACATAATCCAAAGTGTCGAATCGGCAAGTTAATTTAAAGGCTTTTATTCCACCATCCGACATGCTTATAAACGTCTGCACTAGCAATTCCGTTTTCTGATACATGAGCAGAAAAATTCACAAGAGAAACTACGTGAGCAAAAACGTTCCCACGTGGATCTGCACGCATTTATAACACCATTATACTAGCAAGTAACGCCAGAACAGATTCACGATAAAAGAGAGAGAGAGAGAGAACAAAACAGGTGGTATATAATCACTTGGAAAGATGTTCTTATTTATTTTGTGTGCTATTTGTTGCCTAGCAACAAAAATTTATCAGATGGAATTTTTGAGTTTAAACAAACACAAATCTAGATTTAATTTCCTATTTTCACCTATTTTGGATAGTTACGATTACTAAGATATCCACTATTTTAATTCAACCGAAATATTTCTTCAAAAGTTCGAGAACCTATTAGGAGTTACGAAAGAATTCTAGTTTAATTAACCTAACTTTGTTTGATTAAACCCTGTTACAATGAAAATACCAGAAATACTAAACTAGATGCCTTTTGTACCGCCTTAGAGGTTCGAGTCTTCAGTGTACCACCTGGAAAATGAATTTCTATAGCAAAAAAGCGCGTCCAATCTACTTTTGTTTGAGGCATTGTGCCTGAAACGCCCCACAGAATAGACATCCCTGCAAAAGACTATAAAATTTATAGTTTATAAAGCAGATCTATGAATTTTACCAGAAAAATATCTTAGTTTCAAAAGAGTCAGAAAATGATGGATTATTTGGCTCCTTTGCCTACAACGATTTTGCATATTTTGAAATTGATGGCTAGTCTATGACTGTAAGCTGCTTTCACTGAAATCTGATCGAATAATGGTATAGTAGTGATACATTGTAACGGCAGGACAATGCAATACACTATTAGTTCACTGCGTGCTCTTTTTGATAACTATCGTGAAACAAGCAAATTTTTTTCGTTTTTTAAATACATGATAATGATACCGTTTTTGTGGAGTTCATATTACTTAAAATTTGATAAAAACGTTCCTGGCTTGGCTTCCCTTCAAAAAAGATTTTGTTTTCGTTTTACTCATATAAAAAATTCGTGTTTTCGCTAAAATGCGTATGTATGTTTAACTCATGTTGACTAATGCAAAGTTTCGATTAGCAACGAAGTGTCCATTCATATAAATTGTATGTACCTCTATAATCTTCATGCTGTCTATTGGGCAGAAGTGAATCATAAATTCTCAGAGGTAGTGTCAACTACAGAAAAACGCAAAAAAGGACTTATTCGATCTTTTCTGCAATTATTGTATCTTGTTGTGGATTATTGTTTAATTGTTACGTCAGTTTACGCACGAAAGATGATGCAATATAGGTCGTTGGATAAAAGTTTGCATATTTCCAACTTTTTTGTACTTAAACAATCAATAAAACGGAAGCTCCATTATTTTTAACAATAAGATGCTTATTATTGTTCTCGTGTCAATTTTCTTGCCGTTGTTATATATTATTATGATGAAGGATATTGAAGGAAGGACTAATATTGACAAAAAATGACTGACAATTAACAAGTTACTTCTTGCGATTACTCGTTTGCCAAGAAACTAAACTGAAACATCGAAATGTTGATGTTGATCTAAGATATAATTAAAAATTCATTAATTATAGTCTAAATAGCTTGTTCTTTACTAAATTAATATGGCAAAAATGAAATGATGGAGATGTTATGTAACATTTTTTACAGATTTAGACGCTGAGTCAAATAACTTGAAAGCTACGTGATTGAGTGCTAAGCCAGAAAAAGCTTTATTCTCTCATTGTACAACGTTGTGAGATTATTTCGATGCTTCCGCGCATATACTGAGTAACAAAGTTTAAATCGTAAAGACTCGATGCTTTTCGATTCATATTCGTTATTCATTCTTTTGAAACTCACAAAATTGTTGTGTGATTTTAGACAAGTGTAAATAAACATATTTTGTAAACTCATTCATTTTCAAACAATGGTTAGATCAAAAGGTAGGAAGCAACAGCGTTCCATATAGACATGTAATCTATTTTCGTCATTTTTTTCTTTAGACAAAACAACGTCTGCTCATGAGTTGATGGTTACGGCTATTTCAGATGTTGTCAAACAATTGATCGAAGGTTATGAACAAGGAAAAGAAGTGAATCTGAATAAGTAAAGAGACAAACGCTAATTCTCGATATCAACGTGTATGAACTATAGCCGAGTTTTTGTGTTATAGAATTAAATGTAAAGCATCAGCAAAATACGGTCTTAGTTTGCAGCCTCGTTTAGTGGATATTATAGCTGCAATTCCTGAAAATTACAAAAAAATTCTATTACCGAAAATCAAAGCAAAGCCAGTTCGAACAGCTAGTGGCGTAAGTGTTGCGCCAGTGTTTGCTTGACTATTTTATTCCAGTTTCCTTGTCTTTTTTCTAGATTGTTGTCGTAGCTGTTATGTGTAAACCACATCGTTGTCCTCACATAGCTATGACAGGAAATATTTGTGTGTAAGCAGCGTTTTATTCTTTAATATAAAAAAAAAAATCAATTCTGCATATCTTTTTTAGTTATTGTCCAGGGGGGCCCGACTCTGATTTTGAATATTCTACACAAAGTTATACTGGTTATGAGGTGTGTGTTCCGTTCCAGTACACTAATCATTGTTTAAAATACTCCATGTTTTAGTTTTTTAGCCTACATCAATGCGTGCTATACGTGCACGATACAATCCCTACTTACAAACCAAACATCGTTTAGAACAGGCAAATAAATTCATTTCTTGCTCTTCTCATTTTAACTAAATAAATTAACGTTTCAGTTGAAGCAATTGGGTCATAATATTGACAAAATTGAATTTATAGTTATGGGTGGAACATTTATGTCATTACCTGAGACATATCGTGACTATTTTATTAGAAACTTGCATGATGCATGCTCTGGTCATACAAGTAGTAACGTTACGGAAGCAGTAAAGTACGTTTTTTCTACCAATTGTTATAAGATAATACACACGCTTTTTGTTATAGATATTCAGAATGTAGTAAAACAAAATGTATTGGCATTACAATTGAAACAAGACCAGATTATTGTTTAAAAGTTCATTTAAGGTATGTACGATTTTCTAACTATACAAACTTTATTTTATTATTCCGTTTATTCTTCTATAGTGATATGTTAGCATATGGTTGTACACGTCTTGAAATTGGTGTGCAATCTGTTTATGAAGATGTAGCACGAGACACAAATCGGTAGGTACAGTTAGTTATTGTTGCCTTATTAAATGAAAAGTCCTAATTGTCTCTTTTTCTATCCTTCTAGAGGTCACACAGTGAGAGCAGTAACCGAATCATTTCAGATGGCAAAAGATTCTGGATTTAAAGTTGTTTCACACATGATGCCAAATCTACCGAATGTCGATCTGGAGAGGGATTTGTGGCAATTTAAAGTGAGATTATGAACGAAAAGAGAGCATTAGAAAACTCTGATGCATATTAGACAAAGGAGAGATGGTCTTTTTAAAACTGAGCGTCCTTGATAAAATTCTATCTACTAAATTTATAACGAATTTGATCGTCTTGAGATCTACCTATTCTCATTACATCTTACGTTTTACAGGAGTTTTTTGAAAATCCTGATTTTCGTCCTGATGGTCTCAAACTATATCCAACCTTAGTTATTCGTGGCACAGGTGGGTTAAGCAAAGTTAATATACTTTAGACATAAACATTTTATTTCTTTTTCAGGATTATATGAATTATGGCGTACAAATCGTTATCAGAGTTATTCACCTTCAGTGTTGATCGATTTAGTTTCACGAATATTAGCATTAGTACCACCGTGGACACGTGTCTACCGTGTTCAACGTGACATACCGGTAATATTTGGATAGAATTAATCTATTTTAGGTTTATTTACATATTATTTTTTCTAGATGCCACTTGTGACATCTGGTGTTGAACATGGAAATTTGAGAGAATTAGCATTAGCTCGAATGAAAGATTTAAATATTGAATGTCGTGATGTTCGAACTCGAGAAGTTGGTATACAAGAAATTCATAATAAGATAAAACCGGAACAAGTTGAATTAATTCGACGTGATTACGTCGCCAATGATGGATGGGAAACATTTTTATCATATGAAGATCCCGAACAAGATATTCTAATTGGATTATTACGTTTAAGGAAATGTACAAGCGAAACATTTCGTCCTGAATTAAAAAATGGTCATGTATCGATTGTTCGAGAGTTACATGTTTACGGATCGGTTGTGCCCGTACATGCCAAAGATCCTCAATCATTTCAACATCAAGTAAGATGACAACTGAGGAGTAAAATAAATGTTATTACAGGTATTATTTTTTTGTTTTCCTTAGGGTTATGGAATGCTGTTGATGGTAAGAATAAATTTGATTGTGAGGTGTTTATTTGTCTTCATTTTCTGCTTCATTACAGGAGGAAGCTGAACGTATCGCATTGCAAGAACATGGTTCATGGAAAATTAGTGTAATATCAGGTGTGTTAAACTGGCAACGAATTGTTCATTAGTGACTTTTTTTTTCTATTCAAGGTGTTGGTACGCGTAATTACTACAGAAAACTTGGCTATGAACTAGATGGACCGTATATGTCAAAAACATTGATTCTAATGAAATAGTTGAATTTGTTTGTTATTTGTTCTTATTTAATATACATATCAAATTATTTTGAACAAAGATCGCGAAAAAAGATAACGGGCTCATGTGTCATTGTCTCGGATAAGAAGATTCAATACACTAAAATGCTCCATTATTTGTTCACTTACAATTATGTCACCTCCAACCAGGAAACAAAATTAGGACTACTAGTAGATCTTCTCTTCTCTATATTCAAATGAAGAGAGGAGAGAAAAATGACAACCATCACGTTATCTCAGTTATTTAAGACAATTTTACCAATTTTCTATTTATAAGAGTTTTTTTCTTGTTCTTCCTCTGTAAGCGATGAATTTTGTGAGTACTGCTTAAAAAACACGGGATTGATTAGAATGAAGTTTCACATGGAATGGAATAACATTTATTTGTTTTTCTAAAGATTCTAGCAGTACAAACAAATCTAGCGTCAACTTCTTATTTACCATTGACTAAACCACTTTTAGTCGAAGAAAAACAGTATTGCACTTCAGTGGATGCAATTCAGGCTGAAAGGATTAAAGGTTTTATTTGTAAAAGCGAAATTTTTCGGCTCAGGAGTAGTTACAGAGATATTTGTTGAGGGCATCACACAACGTTGCAAAAATAGTTATCAAACCTGTAAAGTTATCAACCTTCGACAAATATCTCTGTAACTGATCCTGAGCCGAAAAACTTTTTTTTTTCAAAATAGTGTCTAATCTCTAATCTAATTTTCAGTTGGAATTTCATCCATTGAATTCCAGTTAAGGGTACTTCCGTCCTCTTTTCACCTTGTTGCCAAGTGCGGAACACATCCGATTGAGCTCAAATTTATACCAGAGATAGAACATCGAAAAAGAAAATGGATGTATTTTTACCCAGAATTTTCTGAGATGTTCTTATAT